AGAATCCCAGGACCCCCTGGGACGGAGAAAGAGATGGTTTTAATTAGAACTGAGAGATGGGAAATAAGGCAGGGAGGGATGACATCTTAATGAGGTTTAATGAAGCTGTCTGCTGGTGGGGACAGCTGTCACCCAGAGAGCTGTATTCCAGCCAAGCCACTTTGTGACAGAGGAAACTCACACAAAAAGGCAGTCTGAAGGCCGCCGGCGAGGAGGGTGGGGTGGTCAGAAGCCCGGAGCCCAGTGTTTCTGCCTACATTTACCCCTTGATTCTAACATGTTGATGACAAGGGGGGCAGGCTGGTGGGCTGTGTCTGAATTGCTTCCAATACCTTACAATTCTCTACGGTGCTTTGCTGACAAGATCTTGAGGGTGTGTGTGTGTGTGTGTGTGTGTGAGAGAGAGAGAGAGCGCTATTTCAGAATTCAGCCATAGGAAATGGGAAATGCAAGGAGTCTGAGGGTTAAAGGGGACTCAGCCACCCCTTTGCTTTCGGAGCCTCAGTTTCCCTTTACGTGAGGATAGCGTGGCCTGCCCTTTAGGTTGTTGTCGGGTCAAAGGTTGTATTCACTTCCTAGCACTGCTTTCAGGAAGCACAACAAACTTAGTGGCTGAAACCATAGAGCTTGGTTCCTCAGCCTCGCAGGAAAGGCCAGGCTGGCTGGGGGACCCTGAGGTCCTGGAACCGACTCACCCCCACCCCCCCCGGGGGCTCCCCAAACGATCATACTGTGAGGTGCACAAACTCAGAGGAACCAACCACTTGAACTCAAAAGGGCACCATTCACGCAGAGACAAGATTCAGAAAGGGTAGGAAGGAAGGAGGCCTGGGCACAGGAAGCCCGGGCATGTAGTGGGGTCAGAGATGTGACCTTGAGGGACTGCCATCCACCAGAAGACGAAATGCCAGGGGCGTGAAGAGGTGACTGTAAAACTGATGATCTCTTCTGCCGACCTTCACCCCGTTCACAATAGAAAGTATGCCGATGTATTCTCTCTGGACACTGCACTTCTGAAATCAAGGTCAGGGCAGGGCCACCCTCCTACGGAAGGTTCTAGGAAAGCATCCTTCCCCGTCTCTCCCAGCCTCTGGAGGCTCCAGGTTTTCCTTGGTTTGTGGTCACATCCTTCCAGTTTCTGCCTCTCTATTTTATTTTATATTTTTGGTTTTCTCTGTTTTCGCATGGCAAATCCTTGGTGTGCAATCGCCTTCCATCTCTTATAAAACTACCGTGAGGGAGGGAAGGTGGGGTTGCAAAGGGGAACCGATTACAAGGATCTACATATAACCTCCTCCCTGGGGGGTGGACAACAGAAATGTGGGTGAAGGGAGACATCGGACAGTGTAAGATATGACAAAATAATAATAAATTATAAATTATCAAGGGTTCATGAGGGAGGAAGGGAGGTGGAGGGAAGGAGAAAAATGAGGAGCTGATACCAAGGGCTCAAGTAGAAAGCAAATGTTTTAAGAATGATGATGGCAACAAACGTACAAATGTGCTTGACACAATGGATGGATGTACGGAGTATGATAAGAACTGTATGAGCCCCCAATAAAATGATTAAAAAAAGAGACTGCTGTGATTGCATAACAGTCTGTAAAGAGTTACAGTCTCAGAAACCCACAGGGGCAGCTCCACCTAGCCCTCCGGGTCTCCATGCGTCAGAATCAACTCAATGACAGTGAGTTTGATTTGGGTTTGCCGTGACTGCATCCAGGAGCCACCTGGTAAACCTCTCTTCTCAAGATCCTTAACTTAATCACATCCTTTGCCAAAATGAGGTCATACTCACCCATTCTAATGTTCACCAGTTCTGGGGAGGCATATATTTTGGGAAGCCATCGTTCAGATTGCTACAGGAAACCACGGTGGGTTAGCCAAGAGGTGTGCTTTCTGACAGCTGAGTTTAAACCCCAGCTCTCCCGCTTACAATGTGTGTGACTTGGGGAAAGTGGCTTCAGGCATGTGCTAACCTCTCTAAGCTTCTGTTTTCCCATCTCTATACGTAATGGGAACCACCTTCCAGTGGGGTTGGCAGAGTCAGGAGAAAAGAGCAAAAAGCTCTGGGCACATGGCCAGCACTTAAGAAGTGCTCAATAAGTGGGGCAGCGAAAGGAAGTCTTGGGTGATACAAATGGTTAACACACTTGGCTTCTACTCAAAAGGTTCTCAGTTCAAATCTAACCAGAGGCGCCTGATGACTTACTCCTGAAAAAAAAAAACATCACCACTGAAAATCCTACGGAGTTCAGTTCTACTGGGATACACATGATGTTGCTATGAGTCCGAGTTGATCGCTACTGGTTTCTGGTTAGTGAGGCCCCAAAGCATAAAATGTGACTGGCGAGCAGGGCGTGCTCAGTAAATGTTTACTCTCCTGCTTGTTCCTTTCTTTGCTTCTGCGGTTCACAAGGTAGAGTGGTTCCAGGGAAAGAATGAGGAGTTGAAATCAACATGACTTGGGGATGAATAGAGTATGGGAGGTGTCTTCGTTTAGTTACATTGGAGAAACAAATCCACAGCAAGTCATATATAAGAGAGAGTTTTATATAAAGGTTAAGCGCACATCAAGAAAACATCCCAACCCAGTGCTGCCCAAGCCCACAAGTCCAACATTAACCCATTATCCCATAGGTCCAACACCAGTCCACAAAGTTCTCCTCCATCTCACAAAACAGATGGAGTTACTAGACATTGTGTATGGGTTAGTTTTGCCACATAACAAAGGATTCTAAATCTAATGGCTTACTATCAACATGTATTTTTTCTGAGGAGAAAATACTGAATAGAGGCATGAACAGACATTAATGTCCTTTATAAAAGCTCTCAGACTATAAACCTTTAGGGGAGTAGAAAGCCTCATCTTTCTCCCACAGAACGGCTGCTGGTTTCAAGCACCAACCCTGTGGTTTGCAGCCCAACACGTCACCCACCGCACCACCAGGCTCCCTCTCAGAAACACAGTCCTAGAGAAAGCAAAGCTGTTGTTGACCTTTTGCCCATGGGCCTGTGTTTATGTGGTTCTTGTATGAAGTTGGATCTCCTGTGCGCACACAGGGAACTCATTGCTCATTTGTCACGGATGGTACAGAAGGTTTGGTAGCTGTTTTTGCAAATGAATGGCCTCTACAGGTGGGAAGAGGCAGGACTTCAAGGTGTCAAGGGCACCAATATCAGGTCAAGAAACACCCGTGAAGCTTACTTGGCCTCCTTCAGCTGCCTCCTCATCCTCTGTGCCAAGGGTATTGACACTCTTGACTGCTAAAATCATAGATTAATTCTACTCCTGTTTGAACTTTATCCGGGTGGAGTAGCATGTACCCCGGAGTGCCTGGCTTCTCACACTGCACACTTTGTGTGAGAACCGTCTGTGTTGTTGTGGGCTTTGTCATCCGTTCATTCTCATTGCTGTGGTTTCCCCACCTTGGTATTCTTGACATTGTGTGGCGAAGTGTTTGTTATCAAGGGACGCGCTATCTCTGGCCTTTACTCACTAGATGCCATGAGCACCTCCTCACTAGTTGTGACAACCAAAGGTGACGACTCCAAGCCACAAAAGCCAAACTCACAGCCATCCAGTTGAATCCAACTCATAGTGACAGGACAGGGTAGAACTGCCCCATGGCGTCCAAGATGGTAACTTCGATTGCCAAATGTTCTTTTTTTTTTTAAAAAAAAAATCTGTTTGTTTGTTTTTTAAATCATTTTATTGTTTGTTTTTTTAAACCATTTTATTAAATCAAATAAATAAATCATTTATGGGGGGGTGCTCATACAACTCTTATCACAATCCATCCATCCATCCATCCATCCATTACGGCAAACACATTTGTACATTTGTTGCCCTCATCATTCTCAAAACATTTGCTTTCTACCTGAGCCCTTGGTATCAGCTCATTTTCCCCCTCCCTCCTGCCCTCTCCCCATGAGCCCTTGATAATTTATCAATTATTATTATTTTGTGCCAAGTGTTCTTTAAGGGGCACAGTCCCACTGGGTTGAGAACACTGCTCTGGTCTGTGGCATGACTGTGCCACAACTTACTTCTCTGTGTGGCAGCCACATGGGCTGTTTCTGGCTTTGGCGATGGTGAATTGAACTGCCGGTGGTGTTCAGATGCGCTCATTTCTGTTGGGTGCTCAGGAGGGAGCTGTTGGGTCAAAGATAGGCAGGTGTTCACTTTTAATAAACTAAAAAAGCAAAGAGACACACTCACTGCCATCGAGTTGGTAAGGACTCACAGCGACTCTATAGGACGCACAGGTGCCCCTGTGAGTCTCTGAGACGGTAACTCTTTATGAGAGTAGAAAGCTCCGTCTTTCTCCCGAGGACAGTTTGGTGGCTTCAAACTGCTGACCTTGCGGATCACAGCCCAAGTTGTAACCACTGCGAACCAGGGTTCAGCTTTGATAGATAATGCCAAACCATCTTCCAAAGCGATTGTACCAGTTCACCCTTCCACCAAGCACATGAGTGTATTGGTCATTTCACATCTGCTCCAAGACCTTTGAACGTTCAGTTTGCATGTCTCAGAGATGAACACATTGGCATACGGGTATTAGTCATGTAAATACCCCCTTAACATAGTGCCTGTCCCAGTCTGCCTTTTCCTATTGATCTGTAGCAGCTCTTTATATATTGTGGACAAGAGTCCGTTGCCAGATAGCTGCCTGGTAAGTTATTTTAGATCATCTTATCTCCCTCTGTGGCCTCAAAGCTGTGTCTGCTTCTCCCATCACACCTCCTGGTGCACTGGACTGCTGTTCTGTAGTAACTGCCCTGTTTTCAAGGCTGTGAACTTCATAAGGGCAGGGACTTTGTGCCTCTTGTGTTCACTTTATAGCTCCCAGCACAGGGCTTGGGGCAGCGTGAACACAGACTAAATACTTGTGGAAGGAGTTTTGCAGCCAAAGGCTTCAATGTGTTTGGGTGGTTTTTGATTCCCAGGCAATCCACATTAAAACACACACATACACACACAAAACAATGCTAAGATGGAGGTATCCGCCTGCTCCCCCACTCGCCCACCTGAGGGGGGCAGCCAGCTCCTGAATTTGTCATCCTTCTGCCAGCTGGAAGTCTGCCCACCTGCACCTGCCCTGAAGGAGGCGGGGTCTCTCCTGCAGAAGTCACATTTTAATTAACTTCCCTGGTGGTCGCTAGAGAGACCGCATCGTTTTCATAACAAATGAGAGGCTGGAGCTCTGTGGGCAGCTCAGGGTGTGTGGTGTGTAAAGAATCCAAAACAAACTGTCCCGGCAATGATGCGTAGCACCCACCTGGGACTCAGGACCCCCTCGCTCTGGAGGAAGGAAGATGTCTGGTCACTGGGCAGAAAAGAAGCCGTGGCACCTGCAAAAAGGCATTTCGTTCATTTACTTGTCCCACCTCCATTTATCAGCATCTCTGCAGCACTGAAAGGGGCCACGGTGCTGGAACAGAGAGAAGTGTCGGCTGAGAACCACAAGGTTGGTGGTTTAAACCCACCGATTGCTCCATGGGAGAAAGATGAGGCTTTCTGTTCCCATAAAGATTTGCAGTCACTGTGAGTCAGAACAGGCTCGATGGCAGAGGATGTCTGCCCTCGAAGGAGTGTTGACGGCCCCACAGTCACCTGTTTGGCTACTCCCCGAGGCTCTGGCTGTTCAAACCCACCAGCAGCTCTGTGGGAGAAGGCTTGGTGATCTGCTCCCATAAAAATGAGCTGTTCAAAACCACCAGCCACTTTATGGGAGAAAGATGAGGCTTTCTCCTCTTGTAGAGTTACACTCTCGGAAACCACAGGGGCAGTTCTACCCTGTCCTATTGGGTCACCATGAGTCGGCATCAACCTGATGACTGTGCTCGTTTTTCTTTAGGGAAACCCTCTGGGGCAGCTCTCTGCGCAGGGGGTGGCTATGAATGGACGTGGACTTGCAGCACCTCACACCAACAGCATTCCACACTTGACCCCGGGAAGGAAAATAAAACCCTCACTGCCTTGGGTTCGATTCTGATTCAGAGCAGCCCTGGAGGACAGGCTAGAACTGTCCCTGTGGGTTTCAGAGACTGTAACGTTTTACGGGAAGAGAAAGCCCCGTCTTTCTCCCAAGGCGCAGCCGGTGGCTTTGAACTGATAACCATATGGTGACAAGCGCAATGGGTCACCACTGTGCCACCGGGAATCCTCTGGAAAGAAGCCAAAAGCAAACCAAACCTGACTCGCAGCCATCCTGAAGAAAAGGGGTGAAAATCAAGACTGGCCACTGCCCGCAGGGAGACATTTATCCAACATATCACCATGTCATTAATGACCTAACCTTACGACACTGCTGTGTGTTCACCGCTTTCTGGGGCTTGCATTCACACGCTGTCCAATTTCCCCCTCTTAATGGGTGCAATTCAGTGCCCTGCAATATAGTTACAGAGCTGTGTCACCATCACCACAATCAAGTGTAGCAACCTTCATCCCCTCCACAAGAAGTCCTGTGTCCCACCCCAACCCTAGCCCCGGGCAGCCACTAAATCCGTGTACTGTCCATGGTGCTTCCTGTGGACATTTCATCTACATGGGGTCAGACGATGTGCCCCTGGCGACTGTCCCTTGTCATCATGGTTTTAGGTGGAGCCATGTCGGGGCATGTCCTGCCCTGTTCATTTAAAGGTGAGGCCTAGGGGTGCTGTGGTCTGTAGAACAAGGAAGCCTATCTGGACTGCAGGCCACCTGGGAAGGCTTCTCAGAGGAAGAGATTGTCTTAAGGAAGATGGTCACTTAAGTCCTAAGTCCCACAGACCCTTGCAGAAGGGTCAGCGGGGAGGAGATGAGCCAGTCAGGGTGCAGTGTAGCAATGATGAAATGTTCCTCTAGTTCCTAAATGCTTCCTCCCCACCCCCAC